GATATTATTTAGTAAATTATACTTTTTTTCAATTTTGCACTATTATGCAATTTTAAGCTACCTTCAAACTATAAGGCAGTAAGATACAAATTATAATTTCACTTTTTAAATTTGTTTTCATAAATTGTGATCTGTTCACTAATGATACACAATACAAGTTAGATGATTCTAGTGCTTTTCCTAATAAAAAAAAAAAGAAATAAAAAAAGAAAAATATTACATGTTTCTATATAATGATAAAACAGATAAGAAAAGAAAAGTTAAACTGTTTCTTAGTATTATAATCATGCATTTTACAATACAAAATTAAAAATAATTGATATTATAGTCATGAAGTTTTTTCAGTTTATAATTTAATGTTCCATTTTGTTTGTTACACTTTGACTTCTCAGATATTATTAAATATTCAATTTGTACTAAGAGAATAAATTAATTTTTTCATGTATATAAATTTACATTTGGATGTAAACTTGCAAAAACAAAAGTGCCTGCCATAGATTTTCTAAACTTGAAAATATGAACAGTATTTACTTAACTGATATATCACAATATTAACTTCAAAATTACATTATGCATTCCAAATTTTACATTGAATATTGTAGACAACACTGTGCAATGTAAAAATAATTTGCATGTGATATTTATTTAAGACTACAACAAAAATTATAAATTGCATTCAGGTAATAACATTAAATAGTGTTATATAAAGTTAAACATTCACTTGCAATTTCATATTTGTATATTTTATATCTTTTAAAATCTTTAATGTGAATGAATGACATGATAATTATAGCACACATATTGTGCCATAAAAAGTATTTAAAAAATATTTAAAGAAAAGCAGTTTGATGAATTTCATTTTTTCAATTTTATTTAATTAAAAAAATATTGACACAATGTAGTTCAAACATATGTCTACTAATGTCAAAGAATAAGAGATTTTAATTTTAAAAAGATTTCTTTATTTTTGAGATCTTTAATTTGCTATTCAAAAAAAAATACATACCTTTAATTCTTTGCACTATGAAGTCATCACTGACATAATAACATTAATTTTCCCTGGTAGATCTCTAATCTTCTCAATGGTTTATACATTCACTGAACTTAGTGCATTCCTTTATATTTTATACATAAATTACTGCAAAACTACTGGAAGCTATTCTTTCATACCTAAAATGAGAAAGAATAAAATCACAGTTAACTGGGAATAACTTATGAAAACAATTATAGTGTAAAGGATTAATTGTTAATTTTTATTTAAGTTATTACATTCCAGTATTACTCTACCTTCCTATACTATTTATACTTCTTATTAGTACAATATACTACAAAAGCCATATATAGGTATTAATTCAAGTAGAAATCTGTTTACAGTAACTGGATTTTATTAACATTTCTTAAAATAAAATAAATAAAATGTTTTTAATGATAAATTTAATCTAAAAATATTTACTGATGTAATAATAAAACATTTCAAATATAATATTTCACAAATAATACTAAATACAAGCTCAAACTTTTAATGTATTCAGAAAATTTGACAATTGTCTTTAAGATAGTATTAATGTAATGCACATCTTGTCATTAAATCTTAAAATAAGATATTAAAATTGTTATAAAAATAACTACAGTAATGTCTCAGAAAACGTAACTCTTTCGGGGGTGAAGCGTTGCATTTTGTGAAACATTGGTGCATTTTCTTATTTGCGACCGCTCAAGAAAAATAGAGCATAACTTATTGTTAGCTACCTAGCTGTTCACCATTGAACCTGATGACTGATTACTCTGACCTATAAAAAATGAAATTAGTGTAATTTCTGTGTGTAATTCCATATAAGGATTGCTAATGCATTTGTGATACCTTTCTGACTAAAATGAGTCCAAAGACTGTATAAATCAGACTATTAATAGTTAAATAGAAATGTACTCTACCATTATAATATTTCACATCGAATTTGAAAATGTTGTTCAGTTCGTAAAAGAAATAATGGATTTATGTAGGAAATGGATAGTGTTATCACTCTTACAGGGAATATTTTACTTGCAGGTTTGGAAGTGTTAATTCCATTAGTTTTAAGACGTTCCATTTGAAGAAAAAAAAAAAAAAAGAAAACCATTGAAACTAAACATTTTTATTTATAATAATTTCCATACTGTTTGATACACTTTTACCAATGTATTACAAAAGTATTAATTTCGCTTATATACAAATCTGAATCTCTAAAAGAAAACAACAACTTGTTGGAGGACATTTTCAATAACCTCATGTTTCCTAAATCGTTTTTGCGTAAAGAAATTGTCAAGTGAGCCGAAAAAGTGAAAATCGGTTGAAGATAAATCAGGAGAATATGGGGTATGAAGTAGGACTTCAATACCTAGTAGTTGATGAAATTTTTCTACAGTTGTGCTTGCTACGTGCGGTCTGACGTTGTCATGCAAAAGGATAGAGTTCTTTTTGTTGACTAGGTGCTGGTTACTGTACCTTCAGTTTTTGTTAAATGACTTCCAATTCCAGTAATAGTGGTACCCGGTCTTAGGAAACTGCAGTGAATTCCGAAGTAGACCATCAAGCTGTGAGAATGTTTTTTTTTGTTGGGTATAAACTAGGTTTGGATAAGGGAGATTCATTTGCGTCTTTCTTTCTCTTAGAGATTTAGATTTTTATGTACGCAGAATTAATGTTCTTATAATACGTTAGCAAAAGTGTATCGAAAATTACGTAAATTATTTTAAATAAAAATGTTTAACTCGAGTGGAGTTATGTTTTTTCAATATGAACAGTTTAAAACTGCTGCGGGAACCTTCAAGATTGATCTAATATAATAATGTCTTTCGAAATGCAACTGGCTGAAGATCGAAGCGTTGCACTTTGCGAAACTGTATCATAACTTTGAGTCACGATAAGAGTACATTTCTATTTAACTATAAATAATCCCAAAAATAAAAAATCCTAAAAATAGTCTGATTTACATCGTGTTTAGACTCATTTTAAGCGGCGATTTTGTAAATTCATTAACAATATCTACATTGCGATAAAACAAAAATTATAAAAATTTAATTATTCATAGATCAGAGTGATTATGACTCATCATTTATTAAATTGAATGTCGGATGTTGGTAGTTTTTACAGCTCGCTCGCCCGAACAGATTCCACGAAATGATGGAGATAGCAAAGTTATATTATGTGGAGCGCTTCGAGTTGCGTTACGAGAGATATTACTGTATAAGTACTTTATATATAAAGATCCTCTCTAATGTATGAAAATTCAAATATTTTGAATTATATTCTTGTTATACAAAATAGATATTGTTTACATCCAAGATATTTTTATTTTCATATATATAGATCAGTTAAGCAAAGATGAGGTTGCAGACGGGACTTAGGGTTTAGAAATGGGAGATGCAGGAGAAATTGTCTTCGCTGCTAATTAACCAACAGCGATAGAGTAAAACAGACTATTGCACTTACTCTTCAATGTACAACGATAGGCGACGATCGAGCCTCGCGTAAGCAGATGGTAACAAATGAGCAGTTGATAATATGTAGATCAAAGGGGATGATTTCGGGCGCTGGATGTTCAATCCACTAGTAGCCATTTCTATCATTTTCATCCTATTTTTATGAAAATAGTACCAGTGGATTGGTGAAGGTCTCCTAATAAAAATAAGTTCAAACACAACATAAATTGGACCACAGTCTCAGGAGTAATCACTTTTAAAAGCATCTTTAAAAATCTGGGATATTTAAATTGATGACTGGTAAAACTACTCTGATTTATATCGTATTTGGACTCTTTTTTATTGACAGAATCTTACTAATGAATTGGTATTATTTTCATGAATATAGGATGAAAATTAGAAAAATTGAAATTTTTTATATTGGATGATTCGTGATGATTCGAGATGATATCGCAGTCAACTGCTGCGTCTTAACCGTCGCTGCTTAACACAATACATCAATCTTGTTTACTCTCGTTTTGTCTATTATCGTTCCTTGTCGATGGCGGTCATAGTCTTTAATTCTTTTCAACTGCTGAGTCTTCTTCACGTTCTGTGATTGCCGCACAACATTTTTTAAACAATAATCAATGTAACCTTTAAAGTTTCCTCTTCTTATATTATCGATAGTTGACTGGAAACTATTTATCCAACTATTTACCTATACGGTAATTTCCCCTCAAGTGGTGGTACTGTAGGACCGAAAAATAGCGGGAATAGCGTGTCCGCTTATTTTCCGCTCATTTGATCAAGCGATGACGTCAGAAGCCTCATCTTTGTTTTGGCGATTTGTATATGTATATACTTACATATATCATATAATTATATATATATACATATATAAGTATTTCAGGAAAAATGTCATAAAAGAAGATTTAACGATTACACAAAAAATTAAAGTATGTTACTTTTCTATTTTAAAGGAGATTATAAAGTTAGCTTTCTTGAAAATTAATATATCTACTTATGAAAAAAAATGTGTTCACTCACATTGATCTATAAATATTTTAATTAATTTCTGTAACTTTTAATATATTTTTACATTTATTGTGATATTTTTTTAAACTGGAATATTTATTTATTACTAATTATACATTTATTTATTAACACAAATATTTATGTATAAATGAAAAGGAACATACTCTATGTACTTATATACTTATATATCCATATTCCATTGTTAACACGTTGATTGCCGCGCGCATTTTACGTGGTTTGCCCATGGCGCCAACATGAATTTTTTATTATGCGTCGCCGGTCACCGGTGACCGGCACTCGACTTGGCTGCAGCGCCGTGGGGGTCACCGGTGACCCCCATGGCAGTCAGCGTGTTAAATGTATAATGTATTTAAAATGTATAAATTATGCTGAAAAGTATTATCTTAAATTTAATAAATTGCTGTTCAATTTAATTCTATATTATTTACATTTAGTTATTTCTCAATTTAAGCATTTATAGCAAATTGTCTCTTACATTTTGTGTTTATTTTATTTCTATTTGCTTTTATATAAAATACAAATTTTAGTA